TGCCGGTGCCAAAAGTTAATCCCAAAAATGAGAGATGAGCCAAAATATTAAAAAGAAAATTTGCTTAACTTCCCTATAGCTAGTTTCTGTTTATAATAAATTCTGAGTAAGGGTGATAAAAAATAAGGGTGCCCTGTATATCTGTGAAAGATGGCGTGGGAAGCTGACATTTGTTTATTTTACGGGCACACCTATGTCACAACCATGGCAGTGTACTACTACCGCTCCTGATGTTTATTAATTAAGAAACTTCATCAGTCTTCTCTGATGGGAAAAGAAATTACTTGGAAGTCTAATAATGCCACAGCTGTATGGATGAGAAAACTGAAGCCACACCTGCTGTGAAGGTTATGTTGATGGCAGCAAAAAATTTCCTAGAAAGACACTCTTTATTAATCCTAAGGTATGCTTTAAAGAAGAAAAATGTAAAAAGGAAAGGGTCTTATATTTCCTTTGCTTTTTCTGTTTATGGGAGATTTATTCCAGGCAATGGGTCATATTTAAACTATAATATGCCTCTATTCCCTGACTTTTTTCTTTATTTTCAGCCAAATAAATATAAACATGTGTTTCTTGTATTTTCATTAAAAGTAAAAATGTGATGTTTTAGCAGAAGTGCAAATATCATCACTTTTAAAAAAAGTATGAAATGTTTGTTTGCAGCAAAAGTATACCCTGTTTTTTTATAATTCTTTTTTATGGTGATTAAGCCCCATCCAATAATCCAGATATAAAAACTGTTGCTGGTATCTTTGGCAGTAGAACAAGCCTCTATCCTTGGTGCTCTCATATGAAGAGCATATAACAAAAGCATAACGGGGTGTTAAATCATAATTTTACACTAACATTTATTGATTTGCCTTTAAATGGACTGTTTATGATTATTTGTGGTGAACATGAAGTTCAGTCTTCAAGAATGTGCCAATGATACTTCAGTAAGCCCTACCCACATTTGATGTGTATTATACAATTTCTTCAAATAAATACATAAATGTACATAAAAAAATAGATATTATCACTATATACAAAGATTATCAAGATTGTCAAGGTGGTTATTAGAGTATTAATGTGTTAACCACATAGTACATGAGTAGTGTCAACCTACCCTAGCTGGCGTGGTACAGGTGATGCTGCCTGGACGGGAAACAGGCCGTTTTCAATTCTGCCAGCTGAACCAGTTTTGTTGTCATCTGTTAAATTAAAGATGGTTTCAGTTCTGTCTGCAGCAGCTTCTCACTGGTGGCTTAAAGACGTGCAGCTGAACGTATGAAAAGAAGTGTCTGCTTGATTGAAGAGGGATAAGATGATGACCGTGCGTTGATGAATTTGCTAGTATTTATATCTATATATATGTCAAGAGAAGGGAAGTGTCAATTTTGTGATAGGGGTACTAGGTTGCTGGGTCATCCACCAAGACAAACTCATTCATATTTTCATAGTTTCTGTCTAATTTAAGATAGCAAGAGTGTATCATATTGATTATATGAATCTAAGTCACTTTCAAATCATGGTAAATTGTTCATCTCTGCATGTATACTCTGTAAATCCTGCTTTCTTGAAAGTGTTCCTGCCAAGTGGCAGTGAGTGCCCAGGAGAGAAACCCATCAGCTACTGCAGGCTGAATTATTCAGTCACAATGCACACAGCTGGGGAAGATTTCCTTGCTGCATTTAAGTCTATCAAGTCGAGTTAAGAATATCTTTGCTTAGGTTTCTGCATGCGTTTTTCTGCAATTTTCCATGAAAAATTACGCCTTCCCCTAAACCCTGGGGAGAGTTCTTGTATACTTCATGCTGAATTAATTGATGATTGTTGTTTTTTATTGCAGATTTCCATGTACTTTGATGAAAAACGTGCTCTACAAGTTTCTGTAGCAAAGTTTGTCTGATGCCATTAATGTTGTAATACTGATAATTAGTTGTTTGGCAAGTTCTAAGCTTTTCTCCAAATTGGAAAGCAAGGGTTGAAGTGATTTATGATTTCTTGGACTTCAGCTCCTCCCTTCAGAAATAATATGGAGAAAGTTTTGTATTGGCAGAGACCTAACGTAACACGCTGCCTCAGTCTCAGTCTTTACCCAGGCCTACATATAGGCATTAGGTGGCCATTTGGATCCAGAGCTCCACCCTGTGTAGAACTGGGCCTGCCACGGACATCATGAAAACTGTGTACATGTACATGATATGGGAGTCCCACAATTGGACCATTGCTATGTACGATCTCACTTCATTTCCTACAGAATTTTCCAATTTCCAATACTGTTTGATGTCAAGACTGATTTATAGAACTTATCTTTTGAGTAACAAATGCAAGAAACCCAAGTGTATCATACGCCCTCAGTTTTTGTTTCATTTGTGTAACTTTTTTTGCAATAATACACTGTGCAGGATGATTACTTTTAAAAGAAAAGCCTCGAAGTCTGGCTTCTTATGTTTGCAGTTTGGTTGTACTGCATTTTTTTCTTTGATTTTAAGTTTTAATGATCTGTTTCTCTTTATAAATAGTATGATGTACAGTATTGAAACATTCCTGGGTCAGCTATATATACAATTAATTGTTGCCCTGCTTATTAATCCTATTTATTATCTCTTTGACCCTGTAAATAGATGGTAATTTCCTCAGATAAGTTAAATGCCTAGGAATATACATTTTTTCATATATGTGTTACATTTTTACCAGTACATAAAGGGAACTTGCTTTCCACCTTTTATGGTTTATCAACATAATGTCATGTTATTTTATAAGAATCAAGTATTTATCTGGTATATAAGATTGTGTAATTTCAACAAGTGATCAGCTTCATGTAAAACATGTCAACTTGGTACAATATTGGATACAACACATGCAGGAATTGAATTCAAAATCAAATAAAAAACTAGCATCCATGAAAATGTGCCAAAAAAAAAAAAGAAATTCTCAATCAACTTCTTGGTTTGTTAAGAAAGCCTGTAACTGATACAAATGATATTTACAGGCGAGCAGCCATCTTCCACACTCCAGTGCTCAGGGTATATTGAGGTGTCTAAAGGTTACCTGGTCAAATATCAAGACCAGAGGGCAATCCCCCCTTGTATTATCAACAGGTTTCTCTTTCCAAACCCAACCTCTCTCAGCCCAGTGCTGTTGAAAGAGAGAAGGACAATTAAAGCCAGATGAAATGGGACGTGATGGGAATTGGTTGATGGAGATGTCAAGGGCAGTAGAGTAGAAAATATGATCGGGAATAAAAAAAAATCTGAAAAATCCTCTGAGGCCGCCATGTTACTCAAGCTGAGGTATTGATGAGATTCAGTTTATTATAGGGTACCGAGGATATCTTGTTTCAATTTCATTAGACGCGACAATGAAATTTTCAGCGAGGTTTCTGTCCAAGTAATTGCTCAATTTTGCTTTAACGAACTGCCATGTTGGGCATTCTGTATTGGATACTGTGTTGAGACCAATCTTCATTTCTCAGGATTTGGATGTAATGGTATAGAAATTGTAGTTATTTTTCCATATTGTTGGTCTTTATAGGATACTTTTTACCCACATGGTTTTAAAGTGGTATTGCACCCCACCCCCACCCCCATCTTGCGTATTCAGGTATATGTAATTACCATCCTCCATTATCCTATGTTTGATATCTTATTCATTTGTAGTTTTCAAATGGACTTCATTTTATTGACCATTTATTAAAGAATTGCTTGCAATTCATTAACATATGTGTGTTCCAAATAAAAAAAACAGAAATAAAGATATACCCTGTAGATGAAAAAAATGAAAAGATAAAAAAGGGAAAATTACCTTATATTGAAAAAGTAGAGATAAAATGGTGAAAATGACCTTATAGTGCAAACATTCTCTCACCTTCTTGCATCATTCAAAAAGTTTATCATCCTGTATAAAGAACATTGAAGACCACATCTGTGGCAGCCTGTCTGACCTCCCTGACCTCAGCAGAAACTGCTGGACACCTGTGATAAAATCAAGTTCACAATTGATTCTTTAATTGCACCGGTCAACACAATTTGATGTGTAATTGGTGCAATGAAAATTCCTCCCTGGTTAAATTGCTAGCCCGTAAATTTGATGGCTATTGTCAGGATGATTTGCCAAGATTTTAATGTTATTGATTTCAACAGTTATATTGTCTGGGAGGGGAGGGGAGCAGGGGGCCTGAGTCATCTTTATGTTATGCCCAATGGCATATTATGTAATTTCTGTCCAGACAAAAATTATCAATAGTACACTGACAATCTACTCAACAGTCTACTCAATAGTCCAGTATTGAAATTAAAACAAAACACTCTGACTACAAACCTGACATTATATTTTAAAGGAAAAGCCCCTAGATCACCTCGTGTGTGGTTGATATTCTTCCTGGAGGTGCCCTGAGTGAGGTCAAGACATTTGCATTTCAATCTTGTTTCCCACCACCCCCACGGTGGGAAATGCTAAAGGAGGATTGCAGATCAATAAACTGATACAATTATGGAAGGAATTAACTACTGTCTGTCCCTGGCTGTCTGTTGGAATGACTGGGCCCCAAACATGGTCAATGTTTACTCTGAACAATCAAAGGTGCAGATAATTCAAGAATCTGTACTCTTCTCTATCCCAAGGGAGTGTTAATTATATTTGTGCTGTCACCTCCATTAAGGTGGTTGGAATGTTGTTGTACAAATGACCACCGTGTTCATTGGGGTTGTTGTTTTTTATTCAATTTGTGTGGCTCTGTCGAGTTGTGCGGCAAAAGTCTAGTGGGTATCCTCTGTTGTGTTAGATGTGACACAGATTTAGGTACTAGCAACAGTACTGCAATGTTGGTAGTTCCTTTGAATGGTTGGGAACAATTGTAACACATTCTTAGAAATTATCTAGCTACCTATTTAAAAGCCCTTGCCTTTTTTTTCAGTGTTGCAGATATGGGCAGATTAAGCCAACTTATTGCAAATATAAATGTGAGCTTTTATCTTTTATAATACTCAAAGTTATTTTTATCATTTTGTTCAATTCAGATGAGTCAGAAAGCCAGAAAGCCTTTGCCACTCACATGAAGGAGCAGTTGGACATTTACCAGAAGGTGTGCGCAGTCAACTTGGTGGACCAAGGAGGCAGAGAGAAGGTCCTGGCAGATGCTTTCCTCCGCCATGTCTTGTTGTACAATTCTAAAGATGTGACCTATGTCTCCTATGCTTTTCATGACTATTGGTGAGTTTTTTTATCTTTCAAATATTTATACTCACTTCATGCAAGGAGTTTTAACACAACTCCTTGCTTTATAGAAAGGTTAGAATTATTAAAAAGAATTAAATATATTTGTAGATTTTTAATTTGTAAGAAGTGAAAACTACAAGATTTATGACATTTGCTTATGAATGAAGGGAAAACTTGTGATTTTAATGATTTTTTTTTTTAATTTCAATTATAACAGTCGAGGTATGCGTTTTGAGAATGTATCTATCCTGACAGACAATCTCCAAGACATTATCAAAGACATAAGATACTGCTGGTAAGTTCACTAACAATAAATATAAATTAATACTGTAAGTCAGCAGGTTATTTTCAAACACCTAAAAATTTTAGTTTCTATGATTTTTCAGTTATTTAACTGTTGGTAAGCTAATGAAAAACAAAATCGATTTTTAAGCGTCTGAAAATCAAACTAATTTCTGCCTTTTTTTCACTGTTATATGATAAAAGCCATCAAGATGTAACGTAAAAAGGGGAGAGCACACTCCCCTCACTGACACAGGCATCTCAGAATTGATGGTATCAGTTGACAAAGAATCAAGCACAGAAAGTATAATTGAACATAGTTGCCAATTCCATATGCATTGTTCAGGACAGACTCCCACAGTCAACAGGTTTTATTCGTTTGTTAATTAGACAATAGATCTACACATTTTGATAACTGCCATTTTGGCACCTCTGAATGAAGCATCACCTTATAGATCAGTATGTGTTACTTCCAGGGTGGATCCTAATGGTATGATCTGTGAGCAGAGAGGGGTGATCAGAGTCAACTGTGTAGACTGTCTGGACAGGACTAATGTGGTGCAGACGGCCATTGCACGGATTGTGTTAGAGACGCAGGTGAGATATTTATATTCTGTTATAAATAGGTATTTTAGCTGAGAAAGACCTGTGAGTATGGATTTTTTTTATGTACAGATTTGAAAAATTTCTTTAGGCAATAGCGTGATTGTCAGTTTGCAGTTCAGTGAAGATTCCATACTTGAGATATGCTGTCTGTTTGCCAGAAAGCTATTTTCATTGGTGCAATGTTGACACTGAAATATGTGCAACTTGTTTGTTACCTGGAGACTTGTTCTGACCTGTGCTGTTGTTCCAGTGTCGTAAGCTTGGACTCCTCCTGCCAGAGGAAGATCTGCCCACAGAGTGTAGACTGGTATTTCAGCAGATGTGGGCAAACAATGGAGACACCATCAGCAGACAGTATGCTGGCACTGTGGCTCTCAAGGTACTCTCTGAGATATGCTCTGGTTTATAACTATGTGATATGAATGCCAGAGACCTGTGTATGCTATGGATCTGTGTGAATATGTCAATCAACTACAGTACTTATTGCACATGTTTGTTATTTATACATGTATCATTTTTTTAATATATTTGACAGAGATACAGGCAACTTCAAATTGTGACAAATATTCTTTAAAATTATTGTAATTTATTTTTCTGTATTCCAGGGTGATTACACTCGGACTGGAGAGAGGAAGTTTACAGGGGTTATGAAAGATGGCATGCATTCAGCTAACAGGCAAGTATATATTTCACCATATTTGTGGGATTTTATTGAATATAATGTTCAAGTTGGGCATCCTGATCATATGCTCTGAACTTTCAATTTTGACATTAGCTTTATGAAGAGTTGAGTTTTTCTCCATTTAAGATCATATGATGGTTCAGATCTTATTTTTAACCCCATTTGAATGAATTTATACATTTTATGAGGAATTTTGTGCCTTTCAGATATTTCCAGAATCGTTTCAAGGATGCCTATCGCCAGGCCACCATAGACATCCTCCAGGGTTTGAAGGTGACAGAGGACCTGAGCGCGCTGAACAAGGCAGGACCCGAGGATGATAGCAGCTTCCTACAGGAGAAGGAGGAGTATGTCAAGGTGAAAAAAATATTCCATATTTTCCAGAACATTTCAGACACATATACCAGGAATTTTTAGCCTAATTTGGAGTGATATATCTAGAAGCAAAAGAATCGCTATTTGTAAAACCTGTTTCAGTCAAAATATGTATGTCCAGATCAGGCTTACTGTAGTTGTAGTGGGGAGCAAGCTGTGCAAACATTATAGGTGACAAATTGTGTATTTCTCAAGACAAAAATAAGAAGAAAAATGAAAAAATGAAACAAAAACTAAACCATGGTCAGCTCATGAGTGATAATGACTAGTTCAATATGATTTATTTCATGTTTTCCAGGTGATGATAGACCAGAGCAAGAAGCTCCTGTTGTCTGATGATCAAGACTGTCTTGGTGGCTGGGCTCTTATTGATATGGAGAACAGGTTATGCAATGTTCTCTTTATTTCGTTTATATCTGTACTTTTTATGTCTCTTTTCATTGAATTAATTGTTATATAATTTAATAAGATGTTTATTTGGTTGACCAAATAAAAAAGTGATAAAACTTAAGGTCCCAGGTAAGATAAGCTGTTTTGCAAAGTTTTGACATGTTGGTTCTTTTTCAGTGACTCAGGGCAAACTGATATGGACACCATATTGTTGTTGACTCAGACACATTTCTATGTTGCAAGGTAAGCTAACAAGAGTTCATTTTTCTGCCAGTGACATTATTCAAAGAAATTAAAAATCAGATTTGATACAATTTGATATTATTCCTGTTTTAGCAATTAATATACATCAGTCATTTTCTCAATATCTTGCTTTCAGTTATGATGATGAGGCGGAGAAAGTGACCCAGTTTCAGAAGATTCCACTGGATAGCCTGCTCAGCATTGAGATTGGTAATTAAGAATTCTTAGAGACTTTCTCAGGGACTGGTTTGTGTCCTGTGCATCAGCCACAGAGTCATGTAGTCCCACGCATTTATACATCAAAGGAGATGTTAGACCACAGCATAGGATTAAACGATCACATTTGACTGATTGCAGTCAAATTTCATATCTAAGACTCCATGTAATCTAAGAAGATGTGGTTGCATGCTATCTCCATTATTTGAAGGTCACAGTATTCTGTCTGCAAGCACTTGCACATCGCAGGCAGAACTAATTGAATAGAAAAAAAAATTTGTTCAAATGTCAGCATGCTCGAATCTCATCTTCTAGGAAAATATAGTGCAGTTACACTGTACATTATACTTCAAGTCATTGAAGTTCAGCTGAACTAGTTACTATACTTCCCTTAAGGTAAATGACTTGTACTTGATTTAAGACATACTCTTCTGCAGTGCTGCTATTTTTGAAACCATTTCTGATCAAAATTTTTTCTGTCCTTACTAAGAAATCTGCAATGATTATAGTGTTATGTACACTGGTGATCTATCAAGCAGATAATGGATGGTTTCTCCAGGAAACCCCAAACTCATAACTTTTCAGAATTTGAAATGGTTTTAAACAGTAAATTCAGTTTATCTTCCACGGTCTTGAATATTATAAAAATTATTTTAATATGTACTGACTCTGCTCTTTTAGATCAAAAATGATCTGCCATCTAGTTGAGTGTTTAAGCAATTTCCTCCCCTCACAATGGATGACACCTCTGATCCCAATGGGAGAATGAGACAACTTAATCAGAAGTCAGTCCAGTAATAGTCTTATTCATTAAGACCATGTTAGATAGTTTGTGATCTGAAATTGTTGCTTAAGATAATATAAGGGGCACTAGCGTCTGATTTTGGTTCACCTTGTATATATTTCCCATTTGTAAACATAGCTCCATGTCACAACCTTCAGGTCCTGAGCCAGCCGTGTTGAAGTCCAAGTTCCAGTGTATCCGCTTTAACTACCGAAACCAACAGCAGAATTATAGCTACACTTTTAGATCCACCAATAGCAGGCTGTTTAACAACATTGTCATAGCAGTGACCAATCAAGACGAGGCTAAAGGTAAGCATGGAATATTGGGTATGTTTTAGGGTAGGGGTGCGTGTGGGTGAGCCTGTGATTTTCTATGATTATTTAAATCAAAATTATTCATTATTTTCATCTAGATTAATTAATGTACATATATTGTTGCAAAGCTATTAATAATATAAACATTTTAATTGCCAAGATACATATATCGTAATCAAAATCTCGAGCATTCTTTTGAGGTCTCTTGCATCCATATTACATGACTGTCATCCAAACATCTTAATGTAACTTGAAAGTTATGGAGCTTGCATATTTTTTCACTTATATTTGTATTGGATATTTTCACAGTGACATTTCTTTTTATAATTGCAGAATCTTTCCGAGCAATTGCTCAAACATTTGCTGCTGCAATTGGTCTTACTGGCAGGCAGTTGATAATAATGGATAAGAAACTGGAGAGGTAACCATCCTTTTTGCCTACTTTTTTATGCTCAAATTTTGTCAGCTTTACAGTTGGGGCTCAGTAATTTAGAGATGAAAGAAAAGGATATATCATATATGAAAACGTCAGAATCTGCATCTCACAAGTGACAGGTGTCGGTGACCTTGTTTTGAAGTATTTTTGTTCTAAAATGTACCCTGTATTGGTAAAATCTGTCTTGGTCACAGTAACTGATTTCATTTTATTAAACATTTTCATTTTTGACTCTGAAAAATACCTTTCAGCAACAGTAAAGCAACTACGATTTCTTTTTAATTTATTTTTGGGTTATTTATTTTGATGGCTTTAATACCCTTTATAGCAGCCTTAAAATGTTTATGGTTTGCATCTAATTAGTTTTAGCCCAATGATTTATGTACATTGCCCTCCAATCGTAAATTGCCCTCCAAGTAAAAAAAATAACTTGTTTAATAAGTTTTATCTCTGAATTAATGTGCTATAATTATAACCAGAATGTGACACATTTAACAACAGTGCAACTCTTCCATTATATTAGTATACAGTCATTGTGTAGAATAAATATTATATTATATCATATTTTCTCTCTACCAGGAAGAAATATAAGCCCCACCCTGGAGTGACTGACATCTCATCTCGGGTGCAGACAACTGCTTTTTCCAGACTCTCTCTTCCCAGGGATGCCTCAGCCAAACTCCTTGATAACATCGTGGTAGGTCTGGGAGACAGGATGTCCAGCGCTAGGAGGACTTTTAGCACGCTGAATCCTGTCCACCATATTGCAAAATTACCATACAATCTCAAAATCCCCGTGAAGGGGATGAAGCTGCCTCATATTTTATCTCGGGAACAATCGATAGACAAAGAACAGAGGAAAGGAACAGACGACAACAAACAGGATGAATTGAGGCCAAATTTTGAAATTTCTGGAGAGTCTGAAGGCAGCGCCGATGAGCTGTCAGCAAGTGTTGTGTCGTCACCAGAGGATGACCTTGAACTTGAAGCTGTGGAGCCAGACAGTGCTGTTTTGCCCAGCTGTGGAATCATAGTGGCCTCTCCAAGACAAGCTGTTAGCTCAATGATGAGATCAAGGACACTTTCAGTGGCAGATGACCCAGATCCAAAAGAAGTCATATCTCATATGTCACGATCAAGGTCAATCATTAGACCAGATAGTTCAAAATCTAAACATCGTCTTTCTAAAGTTCTATCTCGTTCAGCAGAAGCCATTGTCTTTGTAGAGAATCACTATGGTTCACCAGAGTCTGAGAAGTCTGAAATTAAACGATTTCCTAGTGCATCTCAAAGAACTGGGCATACATTTTCTAACTGTGGGAAAGAATTGGAAAACCCAGCATTTGAGGATGGTTTTGAAAGCTCTGATGAGGACCAGAGGGAGGATAATGGAATGGCATCAGCTAAACTCCCAGATTCCTACAGTCAGGATGGGGCACTTAATGCAAAAAGAGATCGACTTTATCACCCAGTCATGAAAACCTCTTTTAGTGATGGAGCAATTGTTTATGATGTTGAAAGCAACCATCTTGCCCTGAATGCTCTAACAAACAAGACTTCTGATGCTGTGTTGCCTAGCAACCAGCCACAGGAGGGGAATACATCAGCATTTTCTAGATTGAAAACAAAAATGTTAAATGTGAAACTGACTGGTCTGCCCTCTCCAAAAATCAAATCTAAACAGTTCCTGACAAAAGAATCGGAAAGGAAAAGAAACATGTCTGATCGAAAGTTCCAGAACTATAAAACAACGATCATAGAACTATAAGATTATGAGTAGCAGTTTGAAACTTTGAAATAATTTGCAAGATAACGTATGAAGTGTGAATGTTAAGTTACTGTTTGGTTTTAAAGAATTTGTTTGGCGTCAAAAAGAAAAAAAATGTAGATTCATTATATGTATCTCAAGTTCTCTTCCAAAAAAGGCCTGTATGCTGACATATTGTATGTAAAAATAGATTGTTGAAAATGTTAAAGAAAACTTGGGTATACGTATACAGTGATACAAATGTAAGTTGTAGAAAAAACTGTGATTCTTGACCTAATGTTTTGACAGTTTAGACACAAGTTTTAAGTAATTGGCTTTCATAAACTTGAGTGTTAGTTCTGGGCCAGTCCACACATATCTGTGATTTCAGCTTGGTGTGTTGGTTAATAGGGATGTTTGTGTTGGTTAATTGGGGTGTTTGTGTTGGTTAATGGGGATGTTTGTGTTGGTAGCATTGTGCTGCTGTATATGATAAGACAAATGTAAATTATAATGGTCTGAAATTCTGATTGTAAATGCATTTCTGTACATTGAAAAAGATTTGAGTCAGTCTTCTGTCCACAGTACATGTGTCCACAGACATCCAGTGCATATGAGTGTGTGAGTGTGTGCGTATGCTAGTGTGTATGAGTATGTGCATATTTGAGTGTGTTCGTGTTGTATGTATGTTTGTATGTTTTCAGAACAACTGCCATTCATAGACTGCTTTATGCTCAGTGTTTTCTGTTGATATTATTAGTGACAGTACCACAAATACTTGTATATGGTACTCAATGAAAATGGATCTCTGTCTGTATACATGGTATGTATACTGTTTGTGAAAGTTTATTTTAACTATTAAAATGGTTCATTTGTCTGGCTTGAGGTGTTTATAGAAATGTATATTAGTTACTGGTATCTTTCATCACAAGCAATCAAGTGTTCATTTCATTGCAATATGTATCTACTTCTGCTTTTCCTATTTTGTTAGTTTGCCTTTAACCCAAGCCTTCATTTTCCACCCAGCTTTAATAACTTTGTCTATTTAACCAGTACATGTGTGTGTGGGCATAAGCATGAGCTGACGCACAAAAATGGATCCTTATGTAGGGTGGCTCCCATTAATTTTTATCACAAAACAAAAATGTTGGGCATAAACATTTAATTGAATAAATTATTTTACTGTCTGAGGTACATTTGGATTATAAAACTCGAAGTGGAATTTTTGTTTAGAAACTCCTGGTATATTGTGTTTTACCATCCTTCAGTAAATTGGCTATTACTCTAGCTTATGATGGGAGTCTATCATGCTTTAAATTCTTGTCTTTCTCTGCTCAATGTATATATGTACTTGGGTAATGCTGTACTAAAGTACGTGTTTATGTGTGTGTGTGTGTGCAGTATTGGCCCCTGTGTATGATCTCAAATTTTTAGTAATTTTATCAGCTACTGGTACAATTAACTTTTATGTAATTGTCATAAACACTGAAGACATAAAACTCAAGTCTTTATTTTGATACAAAATTGCCCCTGATGTCTTTGATTTTGATATACTGGTATATGAGTATGATCAAGTATTTAGAGATATTTTCTTATAGTTTGTTTAGATACTGTGTTACAATGGCAGTAAGGTACATACTGGTAGTTAGAGATTTTCATTCATTTATGGTCTTAATATATACTTATGGGCAAAATACTCATTTGAACTTTGACTTATAATCTAACTGGGTAATATAAACTACTTAATTTAATTGATTTTTACAGAGTTGTTTTGTTGTACATTTTTTAATTTTTTTAAAATTAAGGTGTATCCATGCCTTTTGTAGTTATGTTTTAATTTTTTTAATTTTTGTAAAGTGAATGGCTTTCAAAAGTGGGTCCATTGTGCTGCAGGAGAGACAAAAATCTCTTTGGTTTTCATTGTGTTACAGACAAACTTTCAAAAAAGGTCATTTTTATAAGTAAAATGATCTCAGTTGGTAGTCAATATCTTGTTGCAACAGCTTCTGTTTGTACTGATTTAAAAGCTGTTCTGACATAGGCAGACTTTTTATGATCAACACATACAATATGAATAGAACAATGTGTTTTTACTTGGATCATGTGGATGTGAATGCATTTGATAGTTTGCATATTGTATGCCCCTGTTTTGTCCAAGGTACTTCATCAAACATGATAAGAAATGAAAAAAAAATGTTGTAACAATGGTCTGAAGATAATCTCAATTGTTGCACTGTGTGTGAATATATTGTGGTATTCACATGTACATTGTGTATCAGGGAGTTATGTTGCCCTATTCCTTTATCTGTGGCATTTTATTTGATGGTTGACCATTTCCCCCTTTGAACGGTTTTTTAAAAAAGAATGTTTTACATTTTGCTAGAAGATGGGATGAAAATGTTATATTTATTAAAACAAAAATCCTGTGCAGATTGTCGTGTATTACAAACAATCGTATCAAGTAATCTCATTTCACTCCAATACATGTAACATTTGTATTCAATATCATGTGATCATGTGCCACAGTAATCTTCTGAGTGAATCGAAAGTCTTGCTTTACCACATTTGTAGAACAAATAAATAAAAATATATGCTACTTAAGAATATTATTGATATAACAATAACAGTGGTGGCTCAATCATTTCAATGGGAAATTGTGAATTTTACAGATACTGATTTTTTTTAAGTAATAAATTCTTAAAATTAGAACATTTCCATTGAGTGGCAGCAACAAAACTGAAAAGCAGTGTACCCTATCTTCCTAATTCTATACACTATGAATACCAGGAATGCTATGAAGTAATATAATTTGTTAAGATTCCAAAATTATTTTTTGTATTCGCCCATTGAAAAGATCAAGTCATTACCATAATCAACATGTCACAGGAAAGTTCGTGACTTTAAAGGCTTAAAAATGTAAAAATGTGCCAGAATTAAAAAAATCAGATCATGTGCTATGGGAAATCCATGCTTTTTGGCAACAATTGTATATTATATGCCATTGAGTAAATTTTTGTGTAATAAATCATGTGGAGTATAAGTGTATGAATAAAATTACTTGTGAGAACTGAAAAACTTTCTACAATAGGTTTTTGTTCTTTCTTTTTTTCTTCTATTCCATTATCAACAGGGTTTTGACATTTTTGGGAATTAACCACAGCCTACAGTTCTGCATGCATCAACTAAGAGGTATTGCATTTGGACCCTGTTTTTATTGGTTTGTCACTATTTTCTTAACTGTTTCAAATTTCGCTTTAAGTTGATGTTTAAATTTTGCTGCTTGGTCTGGACCTACTGACCCATTATTTTATTTCAAATGAGCAAAGAAATCCAAGTTACTGCTCCATGTACCACATTGGTACATTTAATAGACTTGTGTAAACTTGTCAATAATCCTTTCCAGGATGATTTGCAAAGATATCATTATTTGTAAGTGCAAACTTAAATTATTTGTCCCCATTAAATTAAGGGTTGGATGCCTAAAATGAAATAAAGCAAAAAGAAATATAATTATTTGAAATGAGACTAGGGAGTGACAAAGAAGAAAGTGTTTGGTAGGTTTACTCTATGTATGTTGGGGGAGGGGCGGGTACAGCATGTGTAAAAAATAATTAAGAGTCTTGAATAGTATCAGTTTGATAAAACACTGAAATCAACTTTTTAATTATTAAGAACACAGCATATATTGCACATCTTAAATAAGCACAAGTCAAAAATTTAGAAATGGTGCCTTGTCTTCTGATCATGTAGAAAAAGGACAATATTTGCATAGTTCAATTTTTAGAGTGAAACTTTAATCTCATGAAATTTTGGATCCTTAGATTTATATTCCATGCATTTATTTGCCAAAAGGTCATTCAGAAAGGCTTTTTTTATTATATACAGACTATGTGTCTGCATTATGGTCTGACTGTGTTGTCGATGAAGTTGTGACATTACGTTTATAATGCATATTCTTTTTGAAAATCAGCATTATCTGATTAATTTGCTTCAAAATTTGCTGTGTGATTAATTTTTTATTTATTTTTTATTTATTGGTAAAAATGGGTTTATTTTTGAAAACCAGTTTATTTTTGAGATTTTTTTTTTTGTAAATATTGTTGCAGTGTTTTTTCTGTTCAGTCTCTGCATGTATATTTGGCAGCTTTGCTGTCTACTTCTAGTAATATAATGAAGATAATATGTTACAGTTAAGATGTTATGATCCCATTCCATCATTGCGTAGGTACATTGTATAAACCCTGAGATGTGTACTGCATTTTTTCGTTCCAGAACTGTCTGAGGTTGCGTCCCATGTTACCCAGAGTGTCTCGCAAACACAGACATCTGGGTAATTGTGCTCATAATGAAGACAGATCAGAGAGCCTTTGGAAATGGATGATTTCCCAGTCATCTGTGCTCGCTTAGCAGGTTTAACTGGTTGGAGTATGGAGTAGGGCGGTCCAAGAGATAGCACAGCCTCACACTTGGAGGCTGTGAGAAGAATAATTCTGAAGTGTTGCTTCAGCTAGTGGGCCCCGGCAAATGGTGCTTAGTAGACAGGTAAATGGATCGGGCAGTCGAAACGATAGCAGTTAAAATCGCGATCATGCTCCATCTCCGGAAATTGAGCACTCTCCTGAGCTTTAGGGCTCTAATTTATCGTCAAAGGCCCATTTGTGGGAATGGCTCATTCTGAGCAATAGAATCATTAGATTTATCATGGTCCTACAGAACAAAAGTCATTATGGAGCATAGTTATAGGGTTATGAATTTTAGAAAGCATTGGTTTTTTTATGGCTAGTTTCTGGTCAAATGAGGGAATAATGTGCAGATTCTTGGATGTTGTAAATTTTGGTGGCAGAACTATGATCCTGACCTTGCTTTCTTCAATGATACGTTTTGATTTCTCCTCGGTTTTGTTCATACATCATTTATGTTGTATGTGTACATGTATTAAATTAGATAAAGTTCTGAATGTGTGTTGAAAACCTTTTACATATAGAAATGGGTATTAATCCCTGTCATCTGAATGTACATAAGGGGGAAAACTGTCATCAAGTTGCAACTTAACAGTTGGTCAGCTGGTCCAACAATACTGCAGAATGATAATCTTATAATGATAAAATCATATCTTGTACATGCTTGCCATTCAGCTACACATATCAACCTGACAACTTGACATAAGTTTTCATTGTTAGACCATATCCCCATTATAATCTTTTACTGATTTTATTTTTAATGCTTTTCCTACTTTCATATATGTTAAGTATGGACCCATTATCAAATCAGATGACTAAAAATCGTCAAGTTATTCAAATATTTGACTTGATTGTAAAATGTGAATATGTTGAACAATTCCATTGATATATATTTTTATGTTGGTAAATGTTACTTGTAAATTCAGCTTTTTGTGACATGTTCATGCACTGGATCCATGTATCAAATAGAAAATACCTGACAGCGTCAAGGATCTTTTGTAAAAAGAAAAAGTTAATGATACTCAAGTTGACAAATTGCATTTCATGTTGTTCAGTTCACAAATACAATCCCGAGACTTGTTTATTTTTATTAGAGTCACTTTATTGTGCACTCGACTTGTTTTATGGCCTTACCTGTAATTATATAACATAAGTGGACGAGTGCAATTTGAATAATTAAAATTAGCATGCACTGCCAAAAATGCAGCACAGAATAAAAAGTTATCATTTCATCAGTATAAAGTTTCATTACAAAGTGTAAATAACAGATAAACAGATATGTAACAAATGGTCGCACTGGTAGATGGCAAGTACCCCTCAGTAGTGAAAGCTACCGGTACATGTTTGAAAACAAAGTGGCCTTCTGGAACAGTTATACTGTACATTAGATTTATACATGTATGTTTGGCATAAAGGTAATGGTAATGTTTTCTGAGAACCGTTCTGGATTGAATTCCTGAAAAAAAAGGTCTGCCATTTAATTTCATTCAGCATTTAATTGTTCATGGTTGCCACAGTCTGACACTCACGTTTGAAAGGGGTCTTCCCCAAGATTGTAATTTACCATGCACTGCTTTGGGATTTTTGTTTGTGAAGCTCACAAGCTGGGGTTGGCCATTTACAAAACATTACTGCCAAACTCCTGAAAAAGACTACCATTATGGGGAGAGAATATGAAGAAATTTGTCACTATCCATTATTATCTGACAGCTTGGTAGTCATTACAAGAAAACAAATGCTTCAGCTGTGCTCCTACGAGACTAATTATTGACAATTACATGAAGAAGAAATGTCTTTTTATGACCTTCGTGCCCCATCTGCCACAAATTACAGAGCCAGGGCAAAATGCAATATGCTCTTATGCTGGGCATATAATTTCATTATTTAGAAATAATTAATCTGGTCATCCTCTTTCAATAGAAAACTAGGAGCAGAGACGATGTGAACTTCTGCCTGTGAAGAAGTGAGGTGGAATGGAATTGATTGGAAAGATTCCAGCTAAAGCTATACCTACATGTACCATTCTACCTTTGCATACAATCTCTCTCTCTCTCTCTCTCTCTCTCTCTCTCTCTCTCTCTCTCTCTCAATTCCATAATATGGAATCTTGGAGGTGCAGCATTGACATTCCTATACCAAGCTTTTCCATTCTTTTCTGATATGTGCCTTTGTCTGGGTCTGGGAGAAGCTCATGGTTGTCCATTCTTTAATGTTTTCTTTCCAAAGCTGTTTGTGTTTGGCTTTATACCTCCTGCCTTCAACTGTGCCTTGGGGCATTACTTTTTCAAAAACATTTGATCCCGTTATTTGTCCCTACCATTGGAGCTTTCTTTTCTTTACTTCTTTTAAAAGGCTGTCCAACATGCATGCTGACCAACATGCATCTTAATTGATGGTGTTACACCTCTGCATCCAATCACAGAAGTTCATAAGTTTTTTCACAGTAATTTGTAAGCTGATACTGTTGTCCAAGTCACTGTTTGAATTGGAGTATGCAGTAAAAAGACTCTCAAGATGGTATCTTAGAATCTACATGCCTTCCCATGCATACTCTTTTTAATTAATACTTTGACTTGTTTACTTATAACTTTGATATTTAAATCATTGATATATAGGTACACATGCTATTTTCAGAATTTGATGTGTAAATTTTGAGATTTTAGTATGCAAGTACATCTAGCATATATTGGCTTCCACTGCAGCAATAAGGAGTAGACATTGGGCCCCATGCCCATGGTACATAATAATGTGATTGTTATTCTACTTTTGTTTTTGCTGCTTCAGCAAGTGCTCTGTTTTACAGCTATTTCATGTTATAATGCAGGGTCACTCTTACTTGCGGCCATTGCCCTTTTGACTGGACAAAGGCTGAAAACATTCGTCATGGGAAATCATTTTGAAAAGAAAAAGGGGTGGATAAATCACTTGAACCGAGCCATAAAGTCATCTAAATCCTATTTGTAAGTTGCAGAGGACGTGATGACTGTGCTTGCAATGTGTTATGTCCGACCAATGCCAGATCTAAGTTAAAAGGCGATGGTCTGGAGCCCCATGGCCAAGGATCATTGCCTGTCTGTCAGTTCCCCATTCTCTGGTGTATGATTTAGGTATCATTGATAGAAGAATCACTAGGTTCATGCGGGGTGAGATGTTTCCCCATGATTAAGACATTGATCTTAGAGATCTGCTGTACTTTAAAGTATACATGGCTCCTATTATAGTGCTTACGTATACACTGTACATTGCCTATAGGCTCTGGTAGGGATGTCTATGATTGTCATGAAGAATATGGTGTGGTATTAGAGAGGGGTCTGTGCTGGTAATTATCCAGTGAACAGAAAAGACTGAGGGCAGTGGAGGCACATGTGAACACACTTTATTCTTGGTCAGCAAATTATATCAGCAATCCTGAATCCATCAACAGATGTTCCATTTACAATTAACAGATAAAAGGTTCTCACCGTTGTCTCTTCATCCTATGGTGTGTATGTAACATACTTGTATGACTCTTATATATTCTATTTGTCTTTTCTTTACATGTGTTTGCTTGAAACTTCCAGATATAAGCCAACAGTTTTTTCCAAGCCCATTTGAAAATG